TGTTTACGTCATTTTGCCATTTCCAAGACATTTATCCAGAAGCAAGATTAGATTAAATCAACGGTTTTTGGTTAATTTAAGTTTAGCGGTATTATCCAGAGATTCAAAATTAACAGGTTATCAGCGAAGGGTTTAGCATGTTACAGGTTACATATGAATTTCAAATCTTGTTAGGCAACGAAATGCGGTCTACCCTGGGTGGGAGGTTTTTTTTTTTCGTGACGATCGCGGTTTCGCCGCTCACAATCGCAGCTTCGCCACGGGAAAAAACCCTCTGGCACCCATGGTAAATGCGGTGCGGATGAAAAGTATATTGTCTTGTGGTTCTCTTAATTAAAATTGAGGGAATTATCTGTAAATCAGACAGAAAATCCCTTAACGGGTAGTTGTGGTTAAATAAAGGTTCGTTATATAAATTCTTCCCCGTAACTTGTGTTTTTTTTAGCATTCAAGCGACCTATAAATAAAGTAAACCAGGCTCTCAGCCAACCATGAAAGAAAAAAACACCTCGTGAACTCCACAATAACCGACAAAAACAGCAAATTGTACATATAAAGTGATAGATTACAATAATGAAATTCTGCAATAGTTTCAGCAGTCTATAGCTAAGGTATTTTTATGAAAAAGTAGTTACTGCTTTTTCATATAAAAGCTGTGACAAATTTGCTTCATGTACATTCTTCGTATATGATTCTACCGTAACGTCCAAGCAGCAAAGCAATGATGACTGTTATTTCATTTGTTCATCGATTACAATAATGAAATACTTCAACAGTTTCAGCAGCCTAACTCGTTATATGAAAATGTAGCTACTCGGTATTTTCTCAAAGCTGTGACAAATTTGCTTCATATTCTTCGTGTATAAAGCTACATAACGCCTGAGAGGCAAAACTATTAATAATATTGTCTCATCTGTAAACTATTGTTAACTCATTACCATTTCACATCTGTTCTATAGTTCATCTCATATAGTTACAACTGCGAACATCTTCCCATTGGCTGAAGTTTCTCACCATTGACAGTAATCTTGTTCTCTTTGTCCAAGTTGATTGCTTCCCGCTCAATACTTTCGGCGCCCTCAGCGAGCCTGCAGCAGAGCCCTCGCAAAGCCTTTCTGTAATTTGTACTTTGAGCAGCATATAAAAGTGGATTAATAAAAGAGTTAAAAAATATTAACACCCTAACAATTCTATGTGCAAGAAATAGTGATGTAAAATTCGGTTCAATTTTTGTTTTTTCAAGTGCGGCAACATACAAAAAGAAGCAGGCGAATGGGAGACAGAGGATGCAAAAAGCCACAGCTAATGAAACAAGAAGTTTCAAAAGCCTCCTCATGTTGCTCTTATCAGCTTCATCTATCACCGGATCAGAAAGATCCCATTTGAGCACTTTAAGAATGGAAAGATGACAAAATGAAATCAAAATTGACGGAAGTACGATAAGAATGATGCAGTGAGTAATGATGTAAATTTTCACTGTTGACTCGTGATCAAGGGTCCATGGTCGAATGCAAGGATACCGAGAGGAACCAAGTGTATGATCCCTCCTGTACTCCGTCCATAAACTATCTGGTAAGGTCAGGATGATAGCCAAAACCCAAATAAAGGCAATGACTATTCCCGTCTTCTTGGACGCGATATTCCAACTGCTGCTTTTAAACGGTTTCACAATCGCCACATAGCGCTCCACGGCAATTACACAAAGAGTTAGCACCGAGGCATCGAATGTGATGCAAACAATAGCGTTTCCAGCAAAAAGCTTGCAGACGATGTCCCCCATTGTAGCGTTGATCCTGAAATGATTTAAAGCGAAGTCGTAGACGCCAGGACAAAGAAGCAAGGTTAGCAAATCCGCTACAGCCAAATTCATCAGCAGATAGTTTGTTGCTGTGTGCATTGACGGCGTTTTACGCACGATTGTAATGACGATGCCGTTTCCCACGACGCCCAAAAACACCATGAACGAGTACAATGTGGCGAACACGATATCCTGAGATGTTACCTGTAAATGTTCGTGCGACCCGTTTAATTGACTTCCGTTCTGTCCGTTCATCGTAGAGGATCAGAAAAATGACCAGTAAAAACTGACAAACGCGAAACTTTTCGATTCTGTCTGAAGAGTTGACCTACACTCGATCTCGCTTGTAACTTGTAAATTAATATTCGGAACACACGTCCTTCAAGTAATGATATTGTAGTGACCTTCTCGGCACAGTTATCCACCTGTACGCTTTTATGATAGCTACGTGTCCAATAAACGGATGAACTTAAGCTCCATCCCTGATACCGTGCCAGCAGCTCGTGAGCCCGCGAACGTGTGGACAGGTGATGTTTGGGAAAACAATAAAGTGACAAGAAAACATTTTATTTCAATTTTCGGTGTTTTGTTCGGAAGATAATTGAACATTCATGATTCTAATGAGTTCGTTCGCCTCAATCAGTCTGTAATAAAAAAGGTGAAATATTCTTTGGACCGCTGAGTACTCGATTCTTTTTTTTGTTTTTGTTTTTGTTTTGTAACGTATGAGGATATAAATAAAGTAAATATGCAAATCTTTTGAACCAGGGTTGGCTCTTTAAAGCCTTCAAAAGTTAATTACTCTTGTTTTGTTCTTCCGACTTGTAAGGGATGGGCAATTTCCGTTGGAAGTTCCTCATATGTGATAAATATTAAGGCAAGTTGCAATATCGGTTTACATACAATAGCATATAGATAATGGTTACGCTAATCGCGGCTTAGCTTAATGCTCTAATTTAAGTAAAGCATATGCTTGGATTTTGCCATTGCCTTAATCAACATTAAAAACGCCATTGAATCAAACACGTATGCCGCGGCCTTGTGTTGCGTATTTGTACAGCTTAAAGTTTACCATTGGAAGAGCGAAGACGAAAATCGCTTGGAATTGGCGTGTGGTCTGTATAATTTTTGATAAGATATAGATCATCGGAAAATAACCTGCCTGCCATGCATAACACAATTTTACAGAAGACATTGGTTCCCTGCAAAGCGTCATTTGCTGCTCTTGTTATCAGCCATTTGGCAAACAAGCTACAGATGCCTTGATGAAACAAAGCAACTGTGTGTTTCGCACGCATCAGATTTAAAATTCATGCGTTTGTCCGCCTTTTACATGTAAATTACAAGCTCGGAAGTAGACTCAACTAGACTTATAGGGACATTAATAATATATTTGCTTACAGATAAGAAATATTGCTGCAAGACTGATAAAACATTAAACAGCTAGATGCTTCCCTATTATGCTTACGCGGTATTATTTTTGGCGTTCGATATTTAACGTCTTTATTTTGACAGGCAGGGTTGTGAATCCTGAACCATTATACCGAAAGCGGGCTGGTAATTAAAAAAATACAGAGATGGTAAAATGTAGTACAAGCTTGGTAATAATATACCAATCAATGGTGATGACCAGTTCCCGTCAGTACCTTATGATAAGGTCTTTTTTCAGCATTAAGATACCTCCGTGACTTTCACATGGCGTTTGAGATGGTTTCAAAGGTTTGCATCAGTAATAACAGACACTGAATTGGTGATAACACTGCTCTTAAGTGCCCTGTAATGCTTCATGTGGGGAACTCAAAATGACTACTCCAGGGGAGAGATACTTTTCGGCTCTCAGTTCCTCTCTAGTTTGTCATTAAAACCTTATGACCGGCATTAGTAAACGCACACTTAGTTTTTAAAAGACTTGTCATTCCGTCCTTGTACAGTTTCTGCTAACTTATCATAAGCCGCGTTAAGATGGCCGCTTGCATTACCACAGACTACAGAGAAACCGCTGGTCTGGGTATGCCAAGGGAGTATCGGACAGGCACTTCAGGAGAACGTAAAAGAGCTGAGTCACGAGATTTTGAGTTATTTCTTTTTAGCCACGTACAGAATTAACTTTTAAATTGAAGGAAACCTGAAAATGGTTGTTTACTAAGATAGATAAACACCAAAGAGATTATAGAAAACGACAAAGGAACAAGGATGGTTGAGGATGGAGAAGATTAACACGGATTACCGTGACAAACGACGAACTTGAAAGAATTAGGCTAAAACTTTTCTTGAATGCGAGAGCAATCAAAGGATGTACACTAGAGTGATATTTGAAAATTTCCCCTCAACTGGAGGAGCCTTTAGGCGAATGCAATTTTAAGAACTTTCAAATATCACGAGTATTCTAAATCCTTAATTGCTCGAGCTTTCATACAATAACTGATTTATTATACGACTGGGAAATTATAATCGTGAGTGCGTTGGTTTACGGTGCAGGGCAAATAAAAAATTACCGATAAATTGGCCTGCTCTCAGGCGATCAAAATGAAGTAATTTTCTCAGTTATATAATGAGGGACTTAATTCTACCACTTTATGTCACAGACCTAGATAGGATTTTAAAAGCTACTCATATGAAGGTTGTTAAGTTGGCAAAACATACCGTAAGAAGGGATCGATGGTGGTGCAGCAGAGATGGGTAGACATACCTGCATCTACCAGCGGGTGATTACCATTCGTAGTGGTTGAAGGAAAAGAATTTCTGTCCGGTCTTGAGACAAATTGAGAGGCCCAGCAAAGCTCTTCGTTATCGGTGCGGCGGTTAATTAAGTAAGTTACTTTACTTCAACTTGGGTTGATGAGGCTGATTAGGCCCCTAGCAAATTAAAATGCTTCAAATGCTTCTTGAAGGATTAAGAGGCCCTGCGCCTAAGAAACGACCGATGATTTCCGGCTAAAAAATAAAATCGGCCGATTTTTATCTCCCAAGTAGAGGTTACCGAATACTA